GATTTACAGCTACCACATGTATATCTATATATGACCTTTGAATGTAAAGTGAAGGTAAACAATTTGAAGACAATATGGAGTTTAATCTAAGGGTAGAAGGACCCGAGTAGCTTGTTGGGTCGGGTTTTTAAACAATTAAACTTTGTTATCCAAGTTAAAGAATAATGAGTGCTAAGAGGGAATTTGAAACAGGTTTGGATATTATTTGGTTGAGTTCCTTTCTCAGTAAAAAAAAAGTTGAGTGTTTGCTAGTAAGGCTGTATGATACCCATTTTTTTGTGTTCTGACGGAATGTTATTTGATCATGAATAGAGATGTAATCAGAGCAGGCCCTGTGAAGAAGAGTTAAGACTAAGTTTAGTTTGAATGGTTTTGGCAGAAAAATTAAGGTGCGTGTGCAAACGAGTAAAATATTTCTTTCTGTAAACGGAGGTGCTACATTCGTTGTCTCGTTATTTAGGTTCAAAGAAAGTTTGTTTTGATTTACAATTTCATAAGTGAATTTAATGTTAGAGTGTTGAGAATTTAAATGGTTGAGGAATTGGTAATGTGTTTACGGTTATGGGGGAGTAAGGATGTATCATCTACATACATTTTATAGAGTGTGAGTGTAACGTCAGAAGAACACTTGTTCAACCATGTGTGCTCATGGTGACAAGAAAGGTGTTAGCTAGTCCTAGTGGTGAACCCATCGCAACGCCATCTATCTGGTCATACAACTGATCGTTAAAGACAAAGTGGTTTTATTTTAAAACTAGGTTAAGTGGTTGTGCAAGTTGCTGTTTGTTATGAGAACTAGTGTGTTAAAACAGATTTATATCGTTTCTTCCAAAGGAATGTTAGTAAAATAAAATTCGATGTCAAAGCTTGCCATAATATATTGATCCGCGTTCAGAAACTGAGAAATTTCACGTGGGAAAAGCATTAGTCGTTAGGGGGTTTAAAATGGGAACTAGGGATTTAGCAAGTTTGTGGAGTTAGGTATCGATATATTGGAAAGAATAGGTCCGAGTGGGGAAGTTGCGTTTGTAAATTTTGGGAAGGCCAAAACATAATACAAGGGGGAGGAGCCTCAAGGATCGAATTTGTTGAAAGTATTATCAGAAACTATTCGTTGGTTTCTTAAATTTCTAAGTGTATGTTGCAGTTTTTCTTCACGTTTAATGGTTAAGTTACGTAGGATTGTATTTTATGGCTTAAACTTATTAGTGTCTCATTTTACCATTTTTTGAATTGAATGTTTTACACTTTTTCCAACACTATTCATTATATTTTTATATTAATAATTATTCTAAAGATTATTCAATTTGTCATTTTCATAGATTTGCTTATAATGGAATACGTGTAATTCCGAAACGCTCATTAAAGATGCTCGCAAATGTTGTCATTGCTCTACTATTCATTATTACATTTTGGTTTCCACCAAATGTATCGATTTCTTCAAGGCTGCGTTGCTTCTGCTAGGAATCGCAACCAGAACTGCAGACGTCAAAGGGCTCAGCAGAGAGCCCAGATCTGTATCAAAATCATCAGCACAGAGCTCAAAACAAAGACAAATGAAATGCATGTAAAACTTAAGTCTACAACCTTTTTTCACCGCATGCGTCAAACTTGAAATAGTTGGGTTATATTATCTTCACATAAAAATAAACAACGAAACTTTTAACAGATTTTACTATAAAATGACAAATAGTCTAACTCACAAGGGCAACAGCATCCGTTGCACCATATGGCGATAAAGCCTCCTTAACAATTTCAGTTAAACACTTGTTGCTCTCTGCCGCCTCTCTACCTCCTTTTAGCAGAAGTCCATTGCCAGTACATATGGCTAGTGCTGCCACCTAGCGAAGACAAAGTAAACTTATTATGACGGTTTTGTAAAGTTACAAAACATATTAAACATTTTCTTCTGGTCATATTCTTACTTAAGAATTTAAGAAAAACACGACTAGTTTGTTAAAAATAATTTGGCAATAAAATACTTTAATACATTTTCCGACAAAGTATTCTGATTTATCAACACCATATGCGAGAAAAATAAAGATGTAACTTCAAATATTTTCTTATAAGCGAAAAATATTTTATACATAAATACAGACCAACGATTTGTGTACACACACACACACACACACATACATACATATAGTTAACCAACTACGATATTATCTAACAATGCGAAAAAGAACGATGAAATGCTCCCCTTACCTTGGAATGTTGAGTTTACATAAATAGCGATACAATGAAATAATATTTTAGACAGTTAAAAAATAAACACTGCCAAGCAGCTAATAAGAACGGGAAAAAAACAACTAAATTTTGGAAAATGTTGAGTAGTACTAGTGGACAAAAGACAACTAAGTTATTGAGCGGCAATAGCTGAAATAGGATGTGTACGTGTGTCTGCGAAAGGGGAAAATTTACTAAGCTCCACATAAATAAACGCATGCATGGGAGGCATATTGTTTTTTGTTGTTGTTTAGATGTAATAGTTCAGATATTTGAGGAGTGGGGGGGGGGCACAAAATGTTTCTATGTTCATAGTTTAAACCTTATTAGCTGGTTCTACAGCTTGTGATTAAACTTGGAGTATAAAGATACCGCTGGTTATTGGTGCTTCATTCCAAGACCTCTGGTCTGTTCCTTTATTTGAGGAAATAATGTGGTGAGAGAGCGATTATTGTTATTATTTTTACATCTAGCACATGTATGTAAGTATTATCAAACAAAACTATTACTGTTGGGATTTAATTGTCCAGTAGTTAATAAAATATGCTTATTTATACATGATTCTACAAATCTTAGTACTTGTGCACTGTAAAGTATTTGAATCCTGCTTTGCGAACATTGAAATTTGATTACCATAACTGTCTAAAGCTGAGCTGTTAATAGTAAATTTGTTATATTTCGGTATAATTATGTATATAATTCTTTGAGGAAGTATTACTGTAAAAGCAGTTTAATTTTCGCGCAAAGTATCACGAGGGCTGTCTGCGCTAGCTGTCTTTAATTTTCAAGTGATAGACTAAAGGGAAGACATCCAATCAATACCACCCTCTACGAACTCTTGGACTACTCGTCACCAGCGAACAGTGAGATTGATCATCACATTATTACGTCCTTAAGTCTGAAAGTGTGGCTATGTTCGGCGACGGGCCTCGATCCCGCAGATTAAGAATCGAGCGTCTAAATCATCAGGCCGCGTCAGTTTCTATAAAATTATCTTGTACAGACAGGAAAAAAAAATCTTCTGTGTGTAAAGTAAACCATGAAAAATTATTTTACAATAAAGATCATTATTGCCAAAATTGTATGTAGAGCTATGACTGTTAACGCCCTAATAGCTGTTTGGTTGACGATGGCTCTTTCACTGCCCTAATAGCTGTTTGGTTGACGATGGCTCTTTCACAAAAACTGCTATATTATGTAAATATATTATATATATTTTCGAATTACCAGGTCAACACAAGAGAAGATGTTGCCGAGCTCCTACAATTAGAAGAATACGTAGATTTGATCATTCCACGTGGATCTAGTCAACTAATTCATTCCATCCAGCAACAAAGCCGCCGTATTCCAGTTTTGGGGCATGCTGAAGGCGTGTGCCATGTTTACGTGGACAAGCAGGCAGACTTGAGTAAAGCTGTTAATATTAGTAAGTATCACGAATTCATTAGGTTAAAGTTGGGGGAAGAATCTTTTCAAGTGTCTGAATTTAACTAAATAGGGTGTCTGGGTCTATATTGAATTCGCAGAAAAATAACTGAATATTAAGAAATGGAATACCAGCAATGTGCACAATGCACAGATCAGTCATTCTCATTACCTTATTATTCTAACTCGCGTGTCCTATCTGGAGGCATTTAAATCAATTATTGACAAAATGTTATGAAACATTTGGAGGCATTTGAAATCAATTGTTGACAAAATGTTATGAAACATTTGGAGGCATTTGAAATCAATTGTTGACAAAATGTTATAAAAGTTAAGGGATTCTCCTCTTCTTTGGGAAGAAACGGAAGACGTGGGGGGGTGAATGAAATATGGAATTTATTACGATAAAGATGATCCATTATGTTTGTGTGTGTGTGTGTGTGTGTTGGGATCCACCACCCACGCTTGGCTGGCTCGATTACCAAAGCGTTTTGTACAGTAACTGGAAATTGTCCAGTGAATATGGCTACTTTGTTTAAAGGGTTTTGCCTGAGAAGAGAGAGAAAGAAAGAAAAAAAGACATTGAAATAGGGCATATTTGTACATTTTTAATGAACTTTTGGCCTTGATTTTAAAGGCAGAAGTACTTAATCAGTTAAATATGTCCATTACTGCCTTCCACAAAGCAAGGTATACAATTAGCATTAAATGAGGGCATTAAGGATTTAATAACAAGATATTAAGGGTTATCTAAAATTGACCTTTATTCGTTTATTGCTTCCTTGACGTGTATTTCTATAACTCTAGTTATTATTATTGAGCGTAGAAACTTTGATTACAAATGCACCATAATTAGAAGGGTATTAACATTTTGCATCAGTAACAATATAATTATTTTCAACAGTAATAATTTACTTCTAGATTTCATTAACTAATATAACAATCTACGAATTCAAACTCGTCCATTATTAGATATAAATAATAGAAATATAGTGTTAGCAACGAATAAACAAGATGTACACGGGTAGTTTATCGATAGGAAACTGGTACGGCAGCAGTTCACACCACAAACAAGTAGTGGATGAGATTATTAAGTGTAGCTATTAGTAACTAACAGAGACGAGCAACTCGCAGATACTAAACAAAGTGATACATTACCAGTAACTAGATACACAAAGATAAGAGATAATTGATGAATTATCAGACATAACTTAAACAGCAGAAAAAGAAGCTATTTTCAACCTTCTTATGCCCACTTATCGTTTCACAGATATATCAGAGTTTATTGTACAACTTGATAAACTTTCTATTTCAAACACAAGAACATTTATATTTTATTTCATGGTTGAGATGACTAGAATAAAAAAAAATATATCAATTCACTCACCATCATCGGTAATAATGACGTCAGTATGTCCACTACCACAGGTATTTATATGTTCTATTGCATCCTCTACACTGTCCACTACCTCCACTGCACACTCCAGGCTTCCATATTCAGTCTTCATTGACTTCGCAACAGAGGGACCAAAAGTTAAGAGCTTGGAAAGTCGTGGGCCAGAGTTTATCTTTACCTAAACAGAGACCATTAGTGCTGAAAAATCTGGCAGTAAATAATGTTAATTATAGTTACTTCTCACACTAGTTTCTTTGTACACTCCTCAATTGCTTTATCATGGTCACAAGTCTGCTCTGTAGTATCATTTAATGCAAGTAACGTAACACCGGACTTTAACATACCTGTAGCATATAAATAGTAAGAACGGCATTAGAATTTGTAAAATCACTCGGAAATATAAAACAGAACTTCTTAAATGTTTTTAATGAAATCAAGTAATACGCTACCACGTCTGCTTTTACAACATTTTAGACACGTTACTTCAGTCCTTACCCCTTCAGATTTCAAGGCGTGACAAACATCTTCAAAGAAGTGGTGGTTTACCAGATCCTTGTGGATGAGTAGCGTCTCCATGGCATTACATGCAGCTGGATAGTCACACTTCGAGTCCCGAACTGAAAGACAAATTATATATATGGATGGAAAATTAAGCAACCACCTATATCTGACCTGAAAGATATAATCAGGGAGATAGAAGAAGAAAAAATTCTGCCCGTAACTAAAATCCTAAATGCTAAGGGAACGTCAGTGATTTCATAGTTACCTGGAGAAAAAAAAAATGATTTAAAACACAACTGGATTCAACAATACTCAGCGTAGAGGACATTTTAAATGTTAGTTAATAGAATTGCGTTGTTACAGTGAACAAAGAACGCTTGACGAACTTAGAGGATTTAATAATTTTGAAAAATTAAGTAAAAATTTGACAAATCGTCAATACTACAGTATGTATTATGTAATACAATATACAACTAATACGTATTAGTACAAAGTAGTTTTTAATGGAAAAAAAGTTTAATCGTGTAGTATATTGTGTATATCTTGTTGGAGCAGAATGATGTATATCTTGTTGGAGTAGAATGATGTATATGTTGTTGGAGCAGAATGAATTTGAATGGAAGACCTGAAATTGGAGCGTTAATCCAAAACTGATAAATTCAGTAGTTGTGCGTTTCCACCGTTCACCTGAACAAATCCAGTATCGACATCATCTTGTTTTGAACAAATCCATAAATGAACTATGAACTGTGCAATTCTGATCTTTGGATGTAGTTTCACTTTAGTAAGTAGCAAGCTTTATTCACTTCTGCTCGATACTCCTGTTTACCTCAAGTTTAGTTTCAATAAAGGTGTTCATCAAATAACACAGAAAGGATCTATCCTAGTACTATTTTTTCACCTTTCGTTTCAAAGTAATCTTAGAGCTTGTGTTTCCTCTCTCTTACTTTATTACACCAAGGCAAACACTTTAAATGATTTAAGATTTTAAAGAGAACTGGACCCTTCCGTCAGGTTTCATAACTTGGGGAGTTTTACCAAAACATGTCTGTTTACACTTCAAATGGTACTAAATACAAAGTGTATAGAATGAATATAAAACACAAGCTACGTAATCTGTGGGTTATTATATAGAACTAGGTTTAATTATTAAAGATAAAACATTAAGGCTTATTCTATATAAAGTGGAGGGGTTAATTGTGAGAAACACAGCATCAGAGGTTAATTGCGAGCCGATTTGTTTAGTACATTTTTTTATTGTTATAAAAAAAGAAAGAAATATTCAAACAACTATTTCTGCTAATTACTAGTAATAAATAATTAAATATGGCCGTATGAAGTTGGAATAACATTCATACTAAGTTCCATATTATGTTTCACCCAAAACGTAAGAAAAAGAAGAACAACATTCAAAAGACGAACTACGTGCAACTTTAGGAAAGCTAAATTTTATGGTTATATATTTAATATTCGATTCGTACTGCTAAGTTTTCGTGACAATTTTTTCAAATTACAAACAGCAAAGATAAAACTTCATACAACACGTGAAGAAATATATATATATATATATATAAAGATATATATATATATATATATATAAGATATATATATATATATATATAGAGAGAGAGAGAGAGAGAGAGAGAGTAGCTATCTGATAATATATCTTTTTACTCAAATTATATCTGTCATTAGCACTCGTGTATGAGTTACATCAGAAAGATATACATTGATTGGAACGTGGGCTTCCAAAAGACATACATAACAACTAACACGAAAATCTCTGGTCTAAATACATTCAGGGCAGACCGATAAATAATAAGTGGATTTATCATTATATTCACGAGCGTCTACATGTTGGTTTATACAACCATTTTAAAGACAATTCTAAAGTGCCCCCTTTTTATTATGAAATGAAACAAAAGAAGTTGTAACTTTGCTAAGCCTAAAACATCAACACTGATGTTTTAGGCTTAGGAAAATTGATGTTTTGTTACTTACCTAAACCGAAACGATATCCATCCGAGAAGCGTGTGCTGCAATTTTTAAAAGTGCATGCACTATCCACCTGGCGGATGAAAAGCTGTGCAGCTTCATCTATTTAAACAGGAGCAGGAAAAGTTAACAACTTGAAACCCTTGAAATATATGCTTTTATACATGAAACAAGAAATCCCTCTTGCCTTTTTAAAATGCCGAGGTACTTGTGTGCAATCTTCTCTACATATTTAACCAAGTAATAACTTTATTTTAACTTCCATAATAAGACTCCTATTTAGTTTATTTAAATTTGGTTTGTGAAAGCCGACTTGTGCTATATTGTGGGAACAGAATACAGAGAATACTACTCTGGAGATATATTTTAGATTATTTTCCCTGAGTTAATTAAGCGCGATATAAGTTAGATAATGCTAACTCCCCCACCCTCTGAAATAGTGAAAACTTTATCACTGTGGTACTGATACCTCCCATAATTATTCGACGTTAGTTAGAACTTCACATCACGAGTAAGCCAACTATATAAATAAAAACCAAAACTCTTATAAATTAATGAAACCTGTTCTATATAGTAACATTACCAGAAGTGCATATTACCATAAACCAATACACTGGAACATATACTGATCAAGAATGCATTGAATCGACCAGAAGTGCATATTACCATAAACCAATACACTGGAACATATACTGATCAAGAATGCATTGAGTCGTCCATTTGGGTTTGACCAGTCTTACTCGAAGATTAATCCCAGTCGCATACTAAACGTATTATTCATGATGAAACTTTATAGAATGGACGGCAACGTCGTCCTCTACATGTGTGTGTCTACAACGGCCAGTTGCCGTCCATTCTACAAAGTTTCATCATGAATATTCTGCCTAAACAATCTATCAAAGAGTATTATTCATGATTGTAAATAATAATAAAAATTTATGACAATTATTAAGCATTTTATACAAATTGTAGCGCCCTCCAGTGGTTCAGGGGTAAGTTTATGGGCTTGCAACTCTTTAAAACTGTTTCGATAGCTGTGGTGGGTAAAGCATAGAAAGTCGCAAATAAATTGTGATCAGTAAATTATAATAAACCTAAATAAAAGAAAATGAAATGAATCATTACTTGGGAAATAATTTAATGTTTAAGAACTTTCATACTCATTCATAGCTTATAATATATTTTTTTTTAGTTCATTAATATTATATTAGAATTTTTAAACCAACTACCTCAACTGTGATTGCTATTTCCTGCTCCATTAATTTATTTCGCTTGAATGTTTGGCGTTCGTTACTAATTCAGAATTAAATTAATCCCCCACCCCAAAAAATAAGTTTAAACAAGTTTTCCTTTATCTAAACTTTTACTTAGTTATTGTGTATTTTCTCCACCCATAAAATATTATTGCGATCAGACCCAACAAACAAATTATCAACTTGACTAACGCTAACCGATCATACCAAGAACTAGGCCTCATTTATTTTGAAGGTATTCCGATAGCAGTTGAAATAAAATTATTTGTTATTAATTGTGACTGAAAAAAAAAAGTTATAAATTCAACTGTCAATAACCACGAGTTTGTTGGAATGAAAGGTGATTTTCATGGTTATTGTATATAGCAAGTTAATCGTAAAAAAACAAAACAAACCACAAATCCTTAATTAGAGTCGATTTATAATTTTTATTTTCACAGAGTACAAATAAATAAAAGCTTAGTTTCACATTCATTGAGTTGTAGTACGTAATTGTTAATTAAACAACACATCATTTCATTAACATAATCAATAATGAGCTCCAAGAATATCAAATATACAACAAAATGTAAACGGATTTACACTTTTAAAAACAGCAAGGAAATGTCACTATACTCTAAGAAAATATTAAAATAAAGTTTAAGATTTATCCAAATGTACACATTTGCTTCACAGTATTTTTTTTTTAATCAGTTCTAATACTGGGAACAACTTTATGACTTCGGTGAAAGGCAACATATGGAGTTACTCAGTTTCGGTTGAAAGATAAAAGTCTCATAAGCTGATTAATGACATACAACCAATGATTGCGTAGTCAGTTCGGGTCACTGGGTCGATCAGCGACAGTCTCTACTATAGAATCATGCCTTGCACCTTCAACTTCTTCAAGATTACCATTTTCTAAAGGCAAGGTCTCGTGAAGATACTTCATGGATCCACCCTCTGCAAAGTCACTAACGACGTTTCCACTACCTTCCAGTATCCACTTTGTCGTTAACAGGCCCTCGACGCCGACTGGTCCCCTAGCATGGATCCTTGCTGTGCTGATCCCAACTTCCGCTCCTAGAACGATCAAAACCAAATATTTAACTTCTTGATAGTTTTATTGAATATTCAGGAGTACTTAGGTCAAGCTGGTAATGACGTTTCAAATCTTTTGATAGTTAGTGATACTAGAGACCTGCGATTGTTTTTATTTTCTTGAAATTTCCACATGTTCTACACTAATTTCTGTACACTGAAGCCTAAAATTATATTCATTTTTCTCGATCACGTACAAATTTTTCACAAAACGTCATCAGCAATGCATAAAAGAAAGACCACAACACGTAGTTTTCAGACTAAAAATATGTAATCAGGATGAATGAGGATACATGTTCGTTTGACATCAATGTTCTTCCCTTTTCTTAAGTTTGTTTGTATTTTTGTTAAAAAAAATAATGATAAAAAGTTTTTCATTGTGGTAAACGAAATAATTAGATCTAAGCAAGTTTTTTTCTTCCCGATTTGTAAAAAATCTTTACGTGATAGAAAAAAAAATAATTTTCGAAATCTGCGTAGCCGAGTTATGGAAAATCCGTTATTAAAACCAAAAGACCTTTTATGAGGTTTAAATTCGCAGGTCTGTGTAATTTAATTTCAAAATCGAGAATTAGCCTTTTTGCATTATAATATCAAATACCACATGTTGATCTCACAAATTTAATGGTTCGAGTCAATCTGACTGATTTAAGTGCTTTATTTTGATCCTTTAGATGTGGGTTTGAAGTGAACGATCTGTAGTGTTTCCCGTTATATCTGGTTTAAAATGATCCTTTAGATGTGGGTTTGAAGTGAACGATCTGTAGTGTTTCCCGTTATATCTGGTTTAAAAGACCTCATAAGGTCCAGTGTGAAGACTATTGGAATACACGGGATGTTTCATGCAAGATCAAAATTCTGCTTTAGTGCTAAGAAAACAATATACCAAAACCCTTTTAGCATTTAAATGAATCAAAAATCCTAGTATACATTTCTTACCTCTTAACTTTAAATGTTCTGGTGTTACGTCTAAAACATCAGCTGTTCCAACTATGTGTCTAACATGTTTTGTGCATCCTCTTCCACAAGAAGTCCACTACTTCTTGATCAGTACTGAGAGTGATGACTGTGATGAAAGAGCTATCACATGATGTCCTGTAGACACATCTAAATAAATCCATTTCAATATCTCACCAAGCTAGGGTAACAATGCCGTTTCAGTTTCACCAACTTTGAAATCAACTATCTGTTTTAACAGATATCTGTTCTTCCTTTTATCAGGAAGAATAGGTTCATTTGTGATGTGTGCTAAACTTTGTCAACATGTTTAAGGCACTACACATGCTACACAACAACGGCATGTCATAGTTTTATGGACTGCATTGTCAGAGAATTAAATAATGATTCATCTAGCCAAACGTTAGTTACTTTCACATCAGAGGCACATATCAAAGCCACACTTAGTCTCGTTGTTGAATTTTTGTTTATTTGTTGTTTTATTGTAGAATCTCTGATACTGTGTGGTGGCCTTTACTAGCTACGGATTCACGTGTTTCAAACAATGCAAAATACAACCTGTAATATATTATTGAAGACGTTATGGTATACCTGTTTTGGAGGAAAGAGCATACATCATAAATATATGTATATATATATTACGTTCTTTGTGGGATCTCTGTTTGCGTCTTGAAATTACTCCAATAGCTACAATTGTAAATGAGCCAGCCACTAAATAACTGCTTACTCAAATGCTCCATCAGACCAAGGGTTTTTCTGCCAGTTATTGAAATGCCTGATGTTGAGTCTAACCATACCAAGCTGTAACAGACTGAAGTATTTAAGGGAGTGGAACATTTCCTCCATGACAGTACTCTAGGGAGTGGAACACTTCCTCCATGACAGTACTCTTGAATGTTAGTGAGTTTTGCTTTAACTCGCCAACATGGATACGTGACTGTGAAAAGAAAGCATCTCAGTGGTATCGTGGCCAATACGTGGATCAAACATCCATGATGCTATGGACAGCAAAGGGTGCTATTACTACAGACCCCTGTGGTTGAACGAATGTTTGATCCCTGGTTGTGGATAGCAGAAAGATAGGTCAGTATAGGATGTTCATCTTCAAGATCTGCAGACCTTCAGGATTTCCCTGTAATCATATTGGTTGTGGTAATTTACACCCATCATGAAGAGGTGCACTCTGCTATACGGTGGTAGTCCTCATCACTCAGTGCAAGCAGACTTTCCTGTCAGTAAGACAGCTTTGACAAACTCAGCCAATGGCACCTCCAGTATACGTGGGTGATGAAGACAAGTTCTCACACTTCTTACGTAAGAATATATACTTACACTTTGAAATCATGTCTTCAACGACGAACATGTAACAGAGCATCTATCAACTTTATTTGTGCTCTAATCGGAAGACTTAGAAGCGTGGCTCATTAACACCAATGTAACAAATTTGAGGACTATATTCACTGTAAAATGTTCTCTTTAGTATATAAATCCAAGACCTCGAGTTCTTACAGTTTTCATGAAATATTAGGAATATCTACCGCTTATCATATTTCATATCATATGTTCAAACTGGGGGACAAAATTTTACTTCGTATACACCACTTAAACCCTATTATGAGCCAACAAAGGGTCATCACCCAAGTCTGCTAATAATAAAAGATTGTGCTATAGTTTCATAACACCGAAACAATAAATTGAAACGAACTGATTGCAATTCAAACAAAATGTCCAGAACACCTCAATTCACTCTTTATAATTAATGGATACGCAAAAGGTTTGTTTTATATAAAGAAATATCTCGGATCAACACTAAACAACCCTCCAAACCAAGATATTAGATAGAATCCCACATTAAAATAATTAAAACAGTTTAAGTTAGGTAATGATCATTAAAAATCCATTACAACATTTCGATGGCCACGTCGTACTTACTTTTAAAATACATTTTACTCAATTTACGCCTCATTTTACATTTAACCCATTCAAACTAAAAACTTCCCCTGCGACGATATTAACGTTACTACAGAAATAAACAAGTTTGAAGATCTAATTAAGTCCATTGGAAAACGTTGTTGCACGCCGAAGAACATGTTAATGTCTATATTAAACTTTTTATTCCAAAGAATTAATGACAAACAAGTGCCATCATCTCTTCCACTGTATACTTCTGCTCAATTAATCATGAAAGTTGTCTACGAAATGAAGATGATGTGGTGAAAGGAGTAGGTAGTAACACTTTAGAACATCTTAATGTTGTTTTTACAATTCACCATTTGTGCTGTAAAAAAAAAGGTTTAAAGACCTTTAGTATCCTCTTTGCTTGTCTGTATGGAAACATGCGCGAACAGGATATGACGGGAAACACTACAGATCGTTCACTTCAAACCCACATCTAAAGGATCATTTTAAACCAGATATAACGGGAAACACTACAGATCGTTCACTTCAAACCCACATCTGAAGGATCATTGTACCTGACTTCTTCCACATGAACAGATACTAGAACTGTTAAGTATCAAGTGAAGAAATAAAGCATTGACCTAATCTTTCAGATGTTGATAAATAAAGAGAAACTGTGATTATTAACCCGTGAAGATAATGGAAAGATACAGAGTACACATTATATTTTATCACTGTTAGTGAAAGATTATTTTTAGCTCGACAGGTGTTTCATTAAAGAATTAAAAGTAACAAGTAGACTCGCAATGAATTCGAGGGAAATCATGATGTTACTTGATGTTTATGGTAATAGTAATGAAGAATTGGATTGAATCATGATGTTATTCGATGTTTATGGTAATGGTAGTGAAGAATTGGATTGAATCATGATGTTACTTGATGTTTATGGTAATAGTAATGAAGAATTGGATTGAATCATGATGTTATTCGATGTTTATGGTAATGGTAGTGAAGAATTGGATTGAATCATGATGTTACTTGATGTTTATGGTAATAGTAATGAAGA